TACTCTTTAGGTACATTGTTATAACAATAAAAAATAGTATAAAAAACAAAACATAAAAAAATAATATATTTTTTTTTTTTATATCTATAAATAAATATATTTTTTTTTAGTGTGTGGGTGTTTATTATTTTTAAATGCACATCTTAATCAATTAATTATTTTTTTTTATTTATTTTATTTAAAGAATAATTAAGAATTTTTAATTCTTTTTTTATTATTTACTAAAAAAATTTTTTAGGTTTTTTTTAGGTTTTTTATTATTTTTTTTTCAATCAAATTTTAAAGGTTACACTCAGATAGAGTTTTTCTCTAAACTATTTAAATTAGGATTATAGAAATTATAATTTAAAAAGTTAAAAAAGTTAAAGTTTAAATTATTTATCATTAATTTTTACTTCCTTTTTTTCATTTTTAATAAATTTAATTTTTTAACCCTAAAAAAAAAAAAGACAAGTACCCAACCGTATTATCTCTAATTATGTCGTTGTTGATTGATTAATCCATAAAAAAAAAATTAAAGAGTATTATTATAATTATAATTTTATTGAGTACACACAAGATATTTATATTTAAAGAACAATAGAGAATCTAACAAAGAAAATAAAATATAAATGGTTATAATCGCCTTTGAAAACTACAAAGCTGATTATTTAAAGCCACCTAGATCTTTGATTTTTTATAATAATAAAAAAAAGTTGGGAAAAAAAATTCAAAAAAAAAAAAAAAAAATTTCTTTTTTTTTTTTTTAATTTTTTTTTATATTTTTTTATTTCATTTTTATTTTCAATATCTCTTTAATTATTTAATTATTATTTAATTATTTATTTATTTATTTCTTTCTTTCTTAAATGAAAAATGGCAAATGAAAATTCATTTTCTAAAAATGTAATATATCAATTTTTTTTTTTTTTTTTTTATAAATAAATTAATTTACTAATTAACTAAAACTTTAGATATTTTCTAATGGTTTAAATCTTAATTTTAGAAACTCAGTTTGTGTAAGCCACGATTCAGTCCAAAACATTTGTGCAGTTGGTTTTAACGATGGTACTATTAAAGTGTAATTTATCAATTTAAATACCACAATAATAACAATAAAAATCAATATTAATATTTAATAATTATTTAACAACTATTATTCTAGATTTGGAAAATATGGATATGAAGTTTCATTTAAAGTTAATGTTAATTCAATTATTAAAAATATTTATTTTCTTGAAAATGAAGTAAGTATTATTATTTTTAATTATTCATAATATTTTATAATAATTTACTTACTTTTTATTAGCCATTTGTAATTGTTGTAACAGAGCAATCTATCGAAAAGTGGCACTATGATAAAAGACAAATTCATAATGTTTTATTATATAAAAATAGTAGAATAACAGCTTCATCATTCGAATTTGGATTAAAAAACTTATTTTTTTCAACAGAGGATTCAGTTATTCATATTTTAAATGTTTATAACAACTTTTTATCAAGTCATAAAATTGATTATCCATCGGAACAATTTGACCGAAAGACAATGTTTGGTGTATCAAAAGCTATTCCAAAGACCACACCCCCACAATCACCACAACAAACAGCAGAAACATCAAATAAAGATGAAAGTATGGCTTCAGAAGGATTATTATGTGTTACTAGACCAGTTCCTGTACCAGTACATCCAACATGTATGAAAGTATCACCAGTTAATGCAAATCTTTTATTAGTTGGTTATTCAAATGGTTTAATCGTAGTGTGGTCATTACAAGAAAAACTTATTGAAAGACGTTTTTTAGGCAAATCAGAATATTGTACATCAGTTTCATGGACCAGAAAAGCCACCAAAATTATTTGTTCATTCATCGATGGTGAAATTCATATTATAAAATATGCAAATTTTGAAAGAAAGGTTTTATACAGTTCTATTGCTGCAAATAATGTTATTAATAATGAAAATAATAATGAAAACAATAATAGCAACAATGAAAATAATGAAAATAATAATTATTTTATTGAAGATTTAAAATTAATTTATTCAAATTCAAAAAAATTATTGTTATTTAAAGGTTATTTTTCATCTTATAAAGATAATAGATCAATATTATTGGTTAAATTTAATAAATTTAAAGACAACTATTCAGTTAATCATGTTGCATCAAATATTAGTTCATTCTGCACAATTTCAACATCTCCATACTTTAATGATAACTATAATGCAACATCTTTTCAATCGATTCTCTGTGTCAATTTAGATGAACAAATAATAGAATATAAATTAGAACCATCTACATTCTTCTTTTTCCCAACTCCATTAAAAGAAATTAACAATAAATCAATGAATCAATTCCCAAAAATGACATTAATGAAGAGTTTCCAATGCAATAGTTTGGTAGTCGAATTAATTTATGACTCACTTAAATTATCATCAAGATACTTTCCAACTATTTCTGGTGGCTCTGTCTCCTTAATCAGCGGTTGCGGTAATATTAGAACTAATGATAAAGAAACTTGTCAACTTTTAATAACTGCCCATGTCGATAGTACTTTACATTTTTGGAACGCTAGCGATTCTAAAAATTTAATTTATTTAGGTGTCTTGGACCTCTCCGATGTTACAAACGAAATTATTACATTCTCTTTCTGTTTATCAACATCACTATTATCAATCTCAATTAAAGATAAACAAAATGATCAAAATGGCACATTGTTAATGTATACAATTTCTTCAGAACCAAAAAGAATAGATAAAAGAACTTTTAAACCAATTAGAGAATTAAATGAAATTAAAAAAACTTTAAATAAAGAAATATCTGAAGAAAAGACTGAAGAAGAAAAAACCAAAGAAGAGACAGAAGAAAAAACTGATGAAAAGATTGATGAAAAGGTTACAGAGAACCCCATTAAATCCAATATAGAAAACAAGCTATTACCATTACCAATGCCAGATACCAATGTATTTAAGTTAATGGGCGATATCAAGCTCTATGGTGAACTTATTACAAATATTACCCCTTTATTAATTAACTCAACAACATCAAATAGATTAATCATTAGTACAAATCTTGGTAAAGTTTATCAATTTGTTATTTCGCAACTAAATGAAAAAAATCCAAGTTACGTAAATAATCCAATCCTTTATTCGATTAATGCAATCTTTTATGGTGTTGCCGATAAAGTAGAACTAAAAAAACCAATTTCAACAATTTCAATCCTTGTACCAGAAAGTAATAGTAGAGATAATATTGACTCAGTTGCTTTCATTGGATATTCAGGCGGTGAAGTTTCATTAATCGATTTAGAAAAAATGAAATTTATTCCATTATCTCTTCAACTTAATAAAAAAAACAGCAACTCTGATGATTCAATTAAATCAATTTATTTCTTTGATGATAAAGATCAACCAATTTTAGAGAAATTTAATCATGGTAAATCAAATAATAATGGAACCATCGAATTAATTCCTCAAGAGAATACAAATTCACAAACTAAAACATGTTATAAAAGTTTCAAAGTTTTAGTTTCATCAAACAAAGAAATTTCCCTATTCAAAGTCTCAATTAAAAATCAAGATATTTCTCAAAGCTCATTCGAATTATTAAAATCAATAGAAGGAAGCTTTATTAGTAGTCCATCATTAAGCACCCTTATAAATAAGGAAGATGAAACCGAAAAGCCAGTTATCATTTCTTTAGAAAGTAGCGATATATTGAAGCCCCTCATAAATATTTATGAACCAAATTTAAGCTTACTAGAATCAAATGGTATAGATCCAATTATTAAATTATCATCAAATGTCTCAACAAGCTTTTCAGTAACAAACCATTTTGCACATGCTTTTATTCACCAATTTAATGAAGACAGCAACAATGATCATTCAACAACAAGTCTCTATTCAATTTGTATTGATAAAGAACAACTTAATCAATATCTTTCATTATACTATATTAATCTTCCAATGCCCGAAAAACCAATTGTTTCGTCTTCTATTTCAAGCTTTTTTGGTGCTCACTTTGAACATTCTTGTGAAGTTTTAGACAAACTCTTCACTGAAAAAGGTACCCAAATCCCCACTTTAGCAATTGACATTGATAGAGCAAATCACCAAAGAGTAGTACAAGCAATTGATAATTTACTCCGAACTTCAGAAAATATTGACGACTTATTAAAAAAAACTGCCTCTCTTGCAAATGAATCTAAAGTTTTCCATAAAAATGTTTAAAAAAAAAAAATAAACCTTAAAATCCTATTTATTAACATTAACTACCACATCTTTTATCTTAAGCTACCATTACCCCCTTCTACCATTATTCTTTTTAAAAAATCTTTATAAATGATATTTTATCAAAAATTTGTTCTCTAGGATTCTATAGAAATCGAAATAATACTATAATAAGGTAAAAACGAAACCACTAAATATAATAGGTAAATTGAAATATATTTCATATTAACAATATGATCTAAACTTTAAATAACCTGAATAATTTAAATTTTCCCAAATTCTCGGCACCATTGGATAACTTTCAATTATTATTACTTTCTCTGGACTATTTGTAATGTTTGATGAAAAAGATGGAAAAAATAAAAAAAAAGTGTGAATAATATAATAAAATTTAAGACTGAATATATGTAAAGGGAAAAATTTATTAGTATTTATTTTTATCACATATTATATATACATATAATTACCTATTTGTTTGTTAGCTTGAATTTTATATTGTAGTAGTTTAGTTTTTACCTTTCTTATATTTTATTGAGCATTATATCTAAAAATATTATTTGATTTGATTTATAAAATAAATAAATGTTACTATTAAGAATTGATTCTTTAAAATAGAATCTAAATAATTAAATAAATAAATTTTAACTTTTTTTATATCCATATAAATTGTTTCCTAAAACTGTTTCCTAAAAATATTTTATTTATTTTTATATGTAAAAAAAGACTTAGAAAAATTATTAAAAAAATAATCGATGTCCATTATTTTTTACATGCAAAACCCCATATAAACTGTTTCCTAAAACTGTTTCCTAAAAACACTCCATATTAATTTTTGCCATATAAATTTTTCCATATAAACTGTTTCCTAAAACTGTTTTAAGAAAAAAACTGTTTCCTAAAAATTCTTAAGAAAAATTTTACTCATTAAATTTTTCTTAAGATGAAAATTTTCTTAAGAAATTAGGGGCGCCCATATTCCACAAGACAATTTTTAATGCGTGTTCCACAAAAAACCTGTGGACCACGGCGCGGCTGTGGAATACAAAAAAAAACCTGCCATGGTCCACAAGTTTTTATGCGCAAATTTTTAATTTTTTTTTTTTTTTTAAAAAAAATTAAAAATTAAAAATTTTAAATCTCACTATTTTTTTTAAATCAAAAAATTTTTATAAGATTTTTAAGAATAAAAAGAAAAAAAAAGGTAAATAATATTTGTGTGCTTGCCTTAATTTATAGCTATCACACTATAAAAACTTGAGCATGACTGTTATTTTGCAGTTTCTGCCACAATAAAGATCCCCATATAAATTTTTTTAAAAACAATAACCCAACTTTTTCAAAAATTTACTGTTTTTTTTTCAAGATTTTTTTTTGACCATAAATCGATAGAAAATGCATTTTAAACAATAACCAAAAAGAAATCTTACAGTGGGATCAAAAATATAAAAAGATGGACATTATTTAGATTTACAAAATTTAGGAAACAGTTTTTAGGAAACAATTTATATGGAGTTTTTAGGAAACAGTTTTTTATTTTTAGGAAACAATTTATATGGAGTTTTATTTTTTATTTTAAATTTTTCTAAGTCTTTTTTTACATATAAAAATTAATATTAAATATTTTTAGGAAACAGTTTTAGGAAACAGTTTATATGGTATTTCAATTATTTTATAATAATTTTTCTAAGTCTTTTTTTACATATAAAAATAAATATAAAATATTTTTAGGAAACAGTTTTAGGAAATAATTTATATGGTATCAATAATTTTAATATTTAATTATAAATTTGATTAAATTCTCATTCGATCCAGAAACCCCAAAAATTTTTTTTTTCATAAACGATTTGAAAAAAAAAATTAATTAATAAATCATTTATTATTCTATATATCATTAAATGATGGATGGATTGAATTTAATTTAATTAAATAGAAATAATAAGTACAATATTTAAAAATAAATAACATTAATTAATTTATAAAAAAAAAAAAAAGCAGAAATAATTTTAAGCTTTTTTATTTATAAATATTTTATTTATATTTAAAAAAAAATATTTATTTATATTTAAATATATTAATATATATATAAAAAAGAAAATATAAAAAGTCATTTTATTTCGATAATTTCAAAGGCTGCAATGATAAAATTAGATGTTATGGGTAATGAAATAAACAATTGTTCATATTTTTTTGGTAATAAATAAATCACAAAAAAATGGTATAAATAATCAAATTAATAGTGCATCTTAGGAAAAACTGTGAGACTGGATTAGAAACCTGGAGCCTCAATTGTTTCTATTTGATCTGTGTACCTTAAATTTGGAGTAATCTAAAACTAGAGATAATAACCGGGAAGATTAAAACTTTTTAAAAATTTGCCTCAAGCCGGGATCGAACCAGCGACCTTAAGAACTTCAGTCTCACGCTCGTACCAACTGAGCTATTAAGGCAATTGATGAAAGAGTTATTTCTATGTTCAATTTGGACAACAAAAAATTTGGATTCCACAAACTAGTTAATTAAATTAAATTGTAATCCTTCTTTATATATTCAAACCTAATGGCACTTATACTAGAAAAATATTTTTAAGTCCTATTAGGCTTAAAAGATTTTATTTAATTGTATACAATTAAGATGCTTTTCCCGAAAGATTTAGATAAAATCAAATAAACTTTAATATATTAAAAATAAGGAAACTATTTTAAAAAGAAAAAAACTTTTATTGTAAAATTTCAAATTTATCTATTGAGTGGATACTATAAAAACTTCCTGTGGCAGCAGTTAATCCTAAATATGCGGAATTTATTCCTGCTAATTGTTTGATTATAACATTACTTAAATATTGAATATTGTCTACGTAAACTGATAATGAAGAGAATTGATGATTATATTTAACTTCTACTTTGTGAGTTTTACCATCTTTTAATGAAAAGTTTGGAGTTGCATAAGCTAATGAATACTGGTGTTCTGAGGATAAACGATTATTTTTACCTTTGGTTTGAATTGAAATATGATTTCCATTTGGATCGCTGCCATAAGTATCAAACTCTACACAAACTATACTATTTAAGCCATGATAACCCATTCCTGATCCTCCAGAACCCAAATAGCCATACTTTGAAGGATTTCCACCAATTATAAAAGCAAAACCATCGGCACCAACTGAATCTTTTGGTAATGATATTGAAAATTCGAATCTAAATACTAAATCTGAATTTAGAAATATCTTATTATTTGTCCAAACCGATCCAATTTGATCTTTATTATTTGTTAAAATAATATTTGTAATAATTTGTGGATCCAGTTGTTGAGTCCTTGAATGGTTGTAACCCTTTCTTAAAACTTTAATTCCCAATTCATCCACAAAATAGGCACTACCGCTTTCTTTTAATTTTGACATTGTAATTGGAAAACGCTTTGTTCTTCTATAAATATAATCGAATAAATATTTATTACAAAATATTTTAAAGAAAAGTTTATCTTTATAATCTAAAGTATCCTCCTCTTTATAATTATTACTATTATCTTCATCTTCTCCCACAATTTTATTAAATTTTATTAAACTACTCTCTATGTTCACATTATGATTATTATTATGGTCATTATTATTTATATTATTTATATTATTTATATTGTTTATAATATCTTTTAACTCTTGATTCTCTTTTTCTAAATTATTATATTTTGCATCTAAATCTATATATTTATTTACTAAATCATGATATAACTGTTCAAAATGCTTTTCCATATTTCGTAATAAATTCTGTGTTATTTTGTGTTCTATGCTATAACTTTAAAAAAAAAAAAATAGAGAAAAATTTAAAAAAAACAAAAAACAAAAAACAAAAAAAAATAAAAAATAAAAAATAAAAAATTAAAAAAATTAAAAAAATTAAAAATTTTGTGGGGGGTTACATTATTATTTTTTTGTAATAAATATCCAAAACTAATTTATTGGGTAAATTATTTAGAATATTTCCCTGAGTTTAATACCAATTTTTGCTGAATAAACATTTTTTTTTATAATTATTATTAAAGAAACACTAATTATAATAAAAGCACAAACTGAACCAACTATTATACCAATTAATTGGTTTTTTGATAAACCACTATTTTTTTCACAAATTTTACCTAAATTATTGTTATTATTGTTGTCAGTTTTTGTATTTAGTAATACTGAAAAATCGGGGTCTATTATTAATGATGATTCATAATAAGGTATATTGGTGATTAAATTTAGTGAGGTAAAAGTTGAATTATTTTCTGAAGGTAAATATTTAAATGAGTTTGATAGGATGATGATTTCATTGTCCACAATTCCCCTTTTTAATAATTTACAGGAAAAACTTTTTTCATCTGTATTTAATGTGAAATAATCAGAGTCATAACCATTTTGATCCACTGAATAGGATGTGCAGGTGGTTTCTTTATTTACCATTGCTGAACCAATAACCAATTGTAATGAACATAATTTATTTCTAAAATTGTATTTTGATAATTCAACATTGAACTTTAAAGTATATGGATTAATTAACAAATCTTGATTTGCAAATGGAATGAAGGTGCTTTGATTTTTAAACCATTGTATGGTAACTGTAATATTGGTTTCAAATTGATCATTTCCTATAATAGCTGCATTGTATGTATATATTTCGACCTGACTTTGGTTAGTGATGTTTTTAAAATTCCATTTGATTGAATTTAAAGAATAATGATTGAGTATGTTACCATAGATATCCAATTCCACTATTTCTTTAATAAAAACCAGGGATTCATAGGTTTCATTTTCAAATATATTATTTACACTTGGTGATGTTAAATTTAAAACTGGTTTGGCACCACTTGATAGATTTATTTCTGAACAATCTAAGCCTGTATAACCTTCTTTGCATTGGCAAGCACTGTTTACGCAAGTACCTTGATGAGCACCACTACATTTATTACTACATTCTAATTGGCATGGACGACTTGAATTATTGAGCGAAGAGTTATAGGGACATTGGCACACATAACCACCGGGTTGATTAACACATAAATAGTTTATTGAACATGGGTACTTACCATTGACACCCTCTACACATTCATTTATATCAATGCATTCATTTGTATTTGGGTTTAATCTGTATCCATAGTCACAGTAACACTCTGTAGTCTCTCTGTTACACTTTGCTTCATTACATGGATATTCTGGTTGGTCGCAAAAGTTTACTCTACAAAACTCGTCATATAAATATGCTTTATCGCAATTACAATTATAGCTTGTTTCATTCGAACAAAATCCGTGATCGTTGCAATTAGGGCATTGAACATTTCCATAATATATTATATTATAAGCTATTTCGGATCGACCAGGATAAATTTTTGGGCACTCGGTGCTTCTGATGGTTCCCAAATCGCTAACATTTTTAAAAGATTTAAAAACTGATAAATTATTCGTGCAAGATCCTATATAAAAATATCCATTTAAATCCATTGTAAAAGACTTTACAAATTGGTCATTACTTGATAAACATGCTTCACCAATATAATAAATATTGAAATTTTTTTCAGTTGAAAAACATTGTGTAAAGGTTATTTTATTATCTATAATTTTATTAATTGAACTTTGTGCAAATGCTGAATACCTATTAAAATTATTTATTATTTATTTATTAATATATTAACAAGATATTACGGTGTGTTTTAAAATTACCTACGCAGTTGGTGATGGAGGATTTCCAGCTGCAGGACATGCCTGAACACTTCTATCGATTCTCATAAATATAGAACCTATATATCCTAACTCAGCACCATAACACATAATTGCTTGAAGTCCAGTTAATTGAGCATTGTCATTACACCCATAATCTGTTTTGGTAAAACCTATATCACATTGTGATTTCGAAAATAATATAAAATTTACTAAAATAAAGAAAATAGATAAATTAAAACTATTTAAAATTTCCATTTTTCTTATATTTAAATTAGTGGGTTTATATTATTAATATTAATTATATAATTGTATTATTTTAAAAAAAACTTTGAATTTTAAAAAAAATAAAAATAAATGATTTGATTCGCATAAGGTCGAAAAATAAAAAAATATCGAAATTTAAAATATTTTTTTAAATAAGGTGAAATATTCATTGGTAAAAAATTGATAAAAAAAATTTTGATAAAAACCGACATTGATCAAAATATAAAATAATAAAAAAAATTCAATTTTTGTGGTAACTAATAAAGATAAAAGATTTATCTTTTCCTCATAGCTAGGGTTACATGTGTTTTAATTTATAAAAAAAAATTTTTAAAAAATAAAATATTTTATTTTAATTAAAAAACTATTTTCTATTATTTTAATTTATAAATTAAAATAATAAAAATTAATTTTTTTTTTTTTTATTTTTTTAAAAATTTTTTTTTTTTCTTTTTCTTTTTTTTTTTTTTTCTTTTTCCTTTTTTTTTAAAGACTTTATATTTATTTTTTTCTATTTGTTTAACAAATAATAATTGCATTGTAAAAATTAATATACCCAAATAAATTTCTATTAATCATTCTTTTCTCAATAATACTTTTTTTTCTTTGAAATTTAAGTGATCACGACACCCAAAATCATTTCTTTATTTTCCAAAAAAAAAAAAAAAATTTTATTTTTTATTTTTTATATTTATTTTATTTTATTTTTTGTGTTAGTGTCAAATTTTATATATTTTTTTTAAACACACACACTTAATCATTTTATTTTTAAATTAATTTGTTTTTTTTAATAAAATTTTTTTATTTTTTTATTTTTTTTGTTTTATTTTATTTTTATACTAAATGCACACAAAATAACAATATGTCACAACAAAGAATTTTAAAAAGCAGAAGTTTACAAACAATAGACCCAACTCCACACCACAATGATAATTTTTATAGTGGAGCCGCATCACAGTCATGTAATAATATAAATCAATACTATCAAGGTGCAAATAATAATAGTGACACCACCACCAATAGTAATAATAGTAGTAGTAGAAATAGCATTGATCAAAGTTATAGTTATGGAAATAATAGTAATGGTTTTGACCAAAATTTCGATATAATTAAAGGAGAACACTATAATCTTTCCAGTGTTATATATAATGTTTATGATTCATTAAATAGCTATTGTAATTCAATTAAAGGTAAAATAGAAAATTTATTTTTTATTTATTTATTTATTTAATTTATTTATATTAACTTTTTTTTATATAGATATATATTTAAATTCAAATAGTTTTATGAATAATATTCAAAAATATTTTGGACCAGAACATCCATTATCAAAATATGGGTTCGGAGTTATCGAAATGGCAAATCAAGGATTCAGCGAATGGATGGATAACCAACAAACAAATTTTCAAATGTTGGGTGATTATGTTCAGGAATTAGATACAGTTAGATCAAAAATAGATAGAGTAGACCAATTGTCATTACAATTAAATGACACTAATATTGATGAATATATGGCATTAAAAGATGAGTTATTTAAAGATGTATCAAATCAAATAGATAATCGTATTAATAGATTTGATATTCCATTAATCCAAACCCAATTATCTTTTTCCTCACTATATCAATGCTTAAATACTATCCACGAAACAAATGGTAGTGAAAAACTACAACAACCAATTCAAGAACTTGAAAACCCAATTAGAACATCAAATATTGTACCAGATAATACATTTTATTATCAGTCACAATCACAACCATTAGAAACTGCCCAAGCCTACGAGGAAACTTACCAACCACAACCATCACAACCATCACAACCACAACCACAACCACAACCACAACCTGTACAACCACAACAAAGACCACAATCCAATTATACAAGCTCTACAATGCTCTTATCAAAACCTGTTAAAACTGAAATACCTCATACTTCAGCGGGTGGCCCAAAGAAATTAGAAAGAGTAGGTGTAAGAGATTATTCTCGTGCACCACCACAACCATCCCAATCTTCACCACTTAAACCAATTCCAAGACCACAATCATTATCTCCAGTAAATGTTCCATATCAATCACCAGTTCCATCAGCCCCACCACAACAAGAGTTTATCGAGCCATTACCACCCCAACAACCAGCTGAACCAGCCTATAAACAATCAAATATTTTTAAACAAGTTTTACCAGTTTCAAATAGTAATGCACCACCACCACAATCAAATCATGATGATTCAAGTGGTGTTATTGAACAACCATTAAGACCTGTACCACATAAATCAGTCCAAGCAAGACCACCATTAGGTGGTTCATTAACCAAGCCCCCACTATCTCCCCAAGCACCACAACAGCCACAACAATCACAGCCACCACCTTTAAGACCAGTTTCGACTAATTTATCACAACCACCACCTTTAAGACCTGTTTCAGTTAATTTATCTCAACAACAAACTCCAAATAGAAGCACAACCCAACCAAACCCTCTTAACCAAATACCAAGACCAGCCCCATCACCATACGCAAATAATAATATTAACTCACCACAACCACCACAACAATCTTTTTCTAAACCAAATGCATCATTTTCAAGACCTTTACCAAACTCTGTATCATCGGTTCAACAATCACAAGTACAAACCAGTTTTTCAATACCAAATTACCCTGTGCAACCAGCTAATACTACAAATAAACCACCTGTAAATCGTCATGTTAGAACTAATTCTGTAGATAGATATTCACAAAACCATTAATTTATTTAATTTATAATAAAAAATAAAAAAAAAGATTTTTAAATCTTTTAAATTATATTTAATTTTAATTTTTATTGTTTTTTAATTGTTTTTAATAAATTTAGAATTATGTAAAGTGGCCCTTTGATTTAAATATGAAACAAAACGTGAGTATGGTTCTCTTAAATTTGGTGAGACCAAGTTAAAACAATAAGTTAAAAGGAAAGTGTTGTATGGGAAATAAACTTGAGCAACATTGATTTTTAAACCATTTTGGATACGTTCGACAGCTTCATCTACTGGAGTTAACTTGACACTGTTTTTTAGGGTAGTGGACATTGGAGTATCGAGGAAACCAGGTGTAACAAGTGTAACACCGACACCATATTCATAGAGTCTTCTACGAAGAGTTAAAGCAAAAGCATTACAAAAGCTTTTAGAACCAGAATAACCTAATGGTAATAAAGATAAAAATGTAAATAAATTATAAATAAATAAAAAAACATAATTAAACTAAAAAAATTACCTGGGTAAAAGAAATCAATATAACTTGATAATGAGGATATGATACAAATTTGGCCATTTCTTCTTTGTTCTAATCTTGGAACTAATGGTAAAACTGTATTCATCATACCAAAAACATTTACTTCTACAACTCTTTGAGTTTTTTCTTCTAAATCCAATTCGCTTGGGACCTGACCTAAAATATAAAAGTTAGATATTAAAAAATAATATATTTTTAAATATATTTATATAAAATAATTACTTTCAATTAGACCTGCGTTGGCTATTAATAAATCAACTGGATGTCTATCATCAAAATCTAAAAGTTTCTTTTTTAGCAATTCTCTATCTGAATTGTTTACAACATTAATTTCTACTGTGGCACCTTTTCGAATACATTTCTTTTGAACAGTGAGCAATTGGTCATTGTTCATACCAAATAATGAAATAACTGTACCTGGTTTTGAATATTGGGTTGCAAGTTGTCCACCTAAACCACCACATGCTCCTATAATTATAAAAAATATAAATATATTAAAATTTACTAAAAATAAAGAAAATTTGTTTTATTAAATTTACCTGTAATAATAATATTTTTTGGTTGTTCAAAGGTTTTATTTTTATATAAATTGAAGAGTATAAAAAATGGCGATAATATTAAAAAAATGGATGAGTTTATGAAAGCATAAACTTGGAAATATAAATCATATATGTATGATTTTAATGCAAACATCATTTTGTTATTTATTTTGAAATATTTATTATCTTGATTTTTTAAACAATTCGAAAAAAAAAGAAAAAAAAATGATGATTTTT